AAAAAAAAAAAAAAAAAAAAAAAAAAAGCATTTGTGTGTTCAATGACTCGCTTGACTGCAGTAATATGAGAGGGCCTGTGGGGGGCTATGTATGTCATTCAGATTTTCGGGAGTCTAGATGTACTCCAAAGTTTCTCTCCTCTTATGCATAATAGGGCAGAGCGACTCGATAAGTGGTCAGCCTTTGACCTATAAGGATGAATGCCTGGTGGTAGGGGCATGCCTCCAATTGCGTGCAAAGCCCAGGGACCACGGCCGGAAGTGTGCAACTGTTGAATGGGTGAGGGAGGTGGAGCTGTGCACCGTCCTCAACAGCGGACAAACGAGATGTTCACTTTGATGAGGTGCGGGGTGGGTGACTGTGCCTGGCTGCGGAAACCATGAAGGATGTGTGCTTTGATGAGGTGCAACCAACTGCCGCGCTTGAATGCTCAGGAGTGCAATACTACAGGAGTTCTCTTGGGGTGTGTTGCATGGAATCCTTCCTTGGTGCATATGTCCTTCAAGCTTCCCGCGTCCTGAGCTAAGGCAGGCCACAGTGACCCGGGTATAGTGGGCATGCCTCTGTTTCCACAGTGACCTAAGCATTGAGCAAGGTTAGGCGGTGCTGTATGAGGGATGTTGGGCCCGGTTCCGGAAAAGGTTAGGCGGGAATATGTGGGTTGGGTGATGCTATGTGGAGGGGGTGGAACCACGGTGCCCAGGATCACTTGCCCGGCTGGGCCGAAAATGAGGTAAAATAATAAGAATAGAAAAATGTTTGTAATGGGATAATTTGCAGAATATCCTCATAAATTGAGATATATGCCAAAATGCCCCTGAAAGATGTGGGTAGACCGGAATGCCCTTTTGGGCCGAAATCTTTGTGTTGTGCCCCTGTCAGGCGGGTCTGCAACTTCGCAATATGGACCTCCTCTCCCCGTTTGGGCCTTGGCCTTTTGCAATAGCGCCGCCTAGGAGAAGTTGGCAAGTACTGGGGCATTTTGTAAAGTTGGTCAGTACCCGGTAGGGGTATATTGCAAAGATGGGGGTGCAACGGACACCAGGGGTATTTCACAAAATATTTTCTTTGTCAGAGGGGCATTCCGCTCTACCCACATCTTTTAGGGGCATTTTGGCATATACAGCCCCTCGTTTGTTGTCCTCTTCTCGCTCTCTGCCCCTGCGCTTTACTGGGCAGCTCTGTTTGACTTCATGTATCATTTTTTTATTATTATTATTATTTTTTACCACTATGTATCAACTTATGGGCTAGGCTACCAGAGTGGCCCAGGTCCACTTTCCCGGCCGGGCCAAAAAGAAATGAAAAAATAAAAAAAATAGTTTTTATTTTTTATTTTTATTTTTTAATTAAAATTTTTATTTTAAATTCGGTAAAGAATGTCGATGTAACTCTGAGGCAAAAGATGTTCAGTTTATTTTTCTGCATAACACAGTTTTTTTTCCGGAGTTTTTGGAGTTTTTTTTTTTTTTTTTTTTTTTGGGCCAGGATCGTCGCTGGTCCTTGCACGGCCGGGTCGCCCGGGAAAATAAGGTAACCCGGGCGGCCCGGCTGGTAGCCTAGCTTATGGGGGTATTTTGCAAATTATTTTTGTATTAAATTTTAATTTTAATTTATTTTTATTTTATTTTGCAAAGAATTCCGGTCTGACCCTGAGGCAATATCTGCTGAATTGGAGTGCCGTGTACAGAAGAAAGGCTACACTGCCAAATCTTTAAAATGGTTCTACACTAGATGGGGATATTTTGATGGTGTGTGTACTGTCACCTTGCAGGACGGACTCCTGCCTGTGTTGTGCTTCTCTGATTTCTTTTTGTAAAAGTTTTGCATTGGTTTTGCTTCAGATAGTGTACAAATGGGTAGTCAATCTAGGTGAGATAGTGTCTATCAATTAAATAAGTGACGGATATATTGAATACTTGCTGAGTACAGGATTGTAGTCATAGGATGGTGATTTGAATACTTCGGTTTTTTATCTTTCCTTCTTTTTTCGCAACTTGGGAACTATGATAATGAGGGGGGCTGGGGTCTCAAACTGGGGATGGGATTGGCCGATAGCGCCTTTCTCTGCTCAGAACTGCTGCGGTCCTCATGTAAGGGACGCCGGGCCCGTTTCCCGGTTTTAATTGAAGTTGTGTTTTGATAAAAAAAAAAAAAAAGTTGTTCAGTTTTATGAGCTTTGTCTGGCCAGAGAGCCTCGCTCACCTGAGCGCTGCGGCGATTTTTTGTAAGGGAGGCCGGGCCCGTTTCCCGGCTTGCATATTAATAAACGATTGATCTTTTCTTTATTCAAAAAGAAAAAAAAGTTGTTCAGTTTATTTTTCTGCACCACCTTTTCTTTTCTTCGCTTTTTTTTTTTTTTTTGTTTGTTTGTTTGTTTGTTTGTTTACAGGGACCTTCCCTGGTCGTTCCCTTGCCGGGCGCCCTCGTCAAACAAGGGGACCCGTGCAGCCTGGTGTATCTCACAGGCTGTGTCAGGCTAATTGCTCAGACTTGCTGCCATTCTTGTCACGCGTCTGGATCTACCCTCTGCTTGGATTGCAGGGTTGCTGTGTGTAACGTCGCACCCCTTTCCTAAGTTTCCTCTCTCAGGTGCATCGCTAACTCTGGACACCGCGGTAAGTCCTTTTTTTTTTTTTTTTTTTTTTTTTGACAGCTCCCCCACCGGTGTTATATCCAGTCGTGACCGCATCCACTTTCCCATCCTTCTGTCATATGCATTCTGGACCGACTGTCGGAGTTCCTCCTCCTGACGAGTTGGTGAAAGTCCCAACGAAACAGTCTGACTGAAACAGTCGTGCTTTTTCTATGAAGTCGTTGTGTACAGCGTACATGACAACACAGGGGGAAAGGGGGGGGTGGGGGGAGACAAGAACAAACACTTCGGCATGGCTAGGCAGTACTACGTCGGCTGGGTGGTCCTAAGTGGGTTGCCTGATAGTATGTGGGTAGGGCAATAACATATGGACTGGGTGGTACCATGCGGGTGTAGGTCATACTATGTGGACTTCATGGTACTGAACAGAGACCCACAAAAGCGAACCGTATGGACTAAGGTATTACGATGTGGGGTGGTATAAAAAACGCATTCGTTCACAAAACCACAGCAAAAAAGCACCGTCTGAAACTTGTGACCTGTTTACCAACAGCTAGGTGTGTACTGGTCATCCACACAGTGTGGGCGCTTAAACCACGAGTACGTGGGCCAGCTATCGGCAGCAGAAAGAAAATAGATTAGAAACGCTTCTGTAGGGAATCTGGACACTCCTGTAGTGGCCCGTACGTCTCCTAAAATCGTGGCTCGGCAACGGATGGGACTTTAGGAAGTGTACTGGTGGTTTAAACACTTACTCTCTATATAGAACATTAGACTCCATTGCATTTGGAATGTACCTGTTTACTGAAAGTGATGTGTACTACACTGTTCATCCCCATGGTTCGCGTGTGTACTTGTACGTGAGCAAGTCTGTTGATTCTATTTGAATACAACGCTTGAACTTGTGCGCAAACGACAAAAATGTGCCTGTGCAGAAAATACAACCACAAACAATGCATGCAGAGGGCACTATGAAAGGACAGACTTAGGGCCAGATCCCACTGGCAAAGAGGATTGGAATAAGTGTCTGAATCTGGATCTGTTCCACACAGAGATGTAGAAAAGCAGTTCAATCACAATTCTTTGCACCTCTCCACAAACGCGTCCAGATTCAGAGGCTTATTCCAATCCTCTTTTCCAGTGGGA